AACCATCTTATTAGGAACTGCTGCCAAAGTTTGTAATTTTCACACTAATGTTTAATTTTCATTGGGAATTTCAAAGACCATGTGTGTTCACTTCTGTGAAGTTATTATATGTGTATTTGGCTACCTCTTAAGAGTACCCAAATATGAGTCCATATATGCTTTTACCAGATTTCTGACTAGTCATAGGGTCACATTACAGACATACCAATATCAGTTTTCAAATTTTCACCTATTGATTTATTGGGCGCATGTATCTTTCATACATTTAGACATGCAAAAGTGAAATTCACAGGTGTTGTGTGTTCAAGCTTTCCCCCCAACCTCCTCCCTTGATTATTTCTTTGTAGCTGCTTGATGCTTGTCAATGTATTGCTTTGAAGCTCTGGGTTTTTCCTATTTACATTGTTTTGAGGTTTTTTTGGTTGTGGACCACAGGGTAAGCCTTGACCTTCTTGTTATTAATATGCAAAGTAATATGCGGTGTGTATGAATGTATCACATAGCTCCATAGCAAAAACAAAACAAAAAACAACGTCATAGTAACGAGTGGTGTAAATCACAGAACTCCACAACAATTAAACTTGCAGTAATGCGCAATGAGTATCAAAAAGCTCCTCCACAATAAAACGCACAGTAATGTGACTAATAGTGTATCACAGAGCTCCACAGCTGTAGAACACATAGTAATGTGAATTTTGTCTATTATCACAAAGCTCCCAGGTAATAAATAATAATGTGAAGTGATGTAATGTGTAATGGCAGTGCGATATATGTGTGTTAGCCATCTGTTATATGTGTGGAGGGTGTTTATGTTACTTTACTTGTATTATCTCTCGTTTACCTTTTTTTGCAGGTACTACTAAAAATCATGGGCTGCTGTAGTCCATTGGGGGTTAATGAATCCATGGTGTCCCTGTGAGGGGAAACTCATGAATGCCTGGTGGTCTGATTAATGAATTCTCAATGGTGTAGTGGGTGGTGGGGCATAGCTGGTGGTCTGGGGATTAATCTCTGGTGGGCCGATGGGGTGGGTTAATGAATTCCTGCTGGTGTGGTAGGTGGGGGTTAATGATTCTCTGGTTGTCCGATTGGGCCGGGGAGTTATTGAATCTCTGGGTGTTTATTTAATACCTGGTGGTCCGGTGGATGGGGGTTAATGATTCTTTGGTTGTCCGATCGGGCTGGGGGAGCTATTGAATCTCTGGTGGTCCGCTGGGTGTTTATTTAATACCTGGTGGTCCGGTGGGGTGGGTTAATTAATTCCAGCTGGTCCAGTGGATGGGGGTTAATGATTCTCTGGTGGTCCAATTGGGTGGGGCAGTTTATCTATTTGGTGTTTATTGAATACCTGGTGGTCCAGTGTCTGGGTTAACGAATCTCTGGTTGTCTAGTGGTGGTGGGGGAGGGAGTTAATGAATACCTCGTGGTCTGATGGGGGGAGGGGTTAATGAATCCCTTGTGATCCAGTGGTGGAATGTTTGCTCTACTTTTTTGCCTGGTGCAGACCGTATTAATTGTTCGTTCTGGTCTGATCAGTGAGGTAATCAGATTGCAGGCAGGAATTCTGGTGGTTATGTTCCAACTCCCTCACTGAGCACTGGAAGCAAGATAAAGGGTGTAACGAACCTCCAAAACCCAGAGTGGTTATGTTCGTTTGGACTCCTGCAAGGTTCGTGTGATTAAAGCCGCTCTCTAATCGCATACCCAAACATCAGTCGAGACTAGATGAAGGGTACAAAGGAATGCTTTATTATGGCCTAGTGGCCTGCTTATACACACAGACCCCCAGCATGGGGTATCCAGCAAAACATAGGTAAACCTGCCCAGGCGCTCTGTATCTGGGAGATAAGCAAGTTTGATTTGCTTAAACTAATTATCTTCCAGGCACTAGAGGTACAGTGCACAAAACATAAAACACCCCAAAACACACACATTTTTTATAGGAACCCCCACAAGTCTTATATCCCCACGGATAGCCCGGATCTAAGCGCCCAAGTTGTCCAAATAGCGCTCTGATCCTGATCTTACAGCCGAATTGCCACAGAGGCAAGGTTTTGACAGATGGCACAGCTGCCTAAATTAGTTCCATAAGAAAAGTGGTAGCGGTCGGTCAGTCTTCGAGAGTTCCTATACGAAATAAAACAAATGTTTTTTTTCCTGGCTCATAGGGAGCAAATGTACACTTTGTTTGGAAATGTCTTTTCACCGAACAGCGCTCTCCTGGCTTGTCTGGGGAAAAAGCAGGCAATCCGACAAAGTTACTGGGATTCGCAGGTTATGGTATCCATCCTAGAGATCCATGCACTCAATGATCTCGTACCGCTGCCTGCCTTCGGGAGACAAAATGGCCACCATTTACCGGAGCACGTGAGTTTGGTTATACGAATGGCAGCCACCCAGAGAGAGCACTTGAGTTTGTGGTTTGTTTAAAGATAACAAACCAGGGGGGTGGTCGGTATTCGGTAGATAAAAGTACCGTAGACTAATAGCTGAAAGATATACTTAAGGTTAATATGAGTAGTCCTCCAATAGGTCAGGGATATGGTCCACTTGTAAAGTAAGTGAGTTTGCGTTCTCCAGTAATTCTCTGACATGAAGCATACTTGTCTTAGTCCAGAAGGCTAGGATGACTTCAGAGTTTGTAGAGCCGGCGTGTCCCAGGAGCCGGCGTGCATATTTGGAAGTAGGACCCACATTGCCAGAGCCTGTGGAGAGGCAAGTCTGGCGAAAGTAGCTCCCAGTATCACCAAGCACCCTCTCTCTGGCGCGGTCTCCCTAAATACCGTTAGAGCCGCGTCAGAGGGGGGCGGGGTCCGGCTCCGCACAGCGGAGTGCCGAACCCGGAAGTATTATCGCATGACACCTGGCAGGAGCTGTTCACAGCTTGCAATGCTTGGAGGGGGTTGGTGAAACAAGAATCAATGGTATGAGAAGTAACCTGTCAGGATAAAAAGATCCTCTACTACTGCTAATACTATATAGTGATTGGTGCTGGGCAGTACACATAGTGCAGTGGTGATCATATTGTGCAGTATCTGATTGGATGCAGAGGGCTTGCTATATCATTAACAGTCTAACTCCTTGAGGTAGGTCACAGCTCAAGACCTCGCAACTTTAAAACTTTATTCTGATGAGGTTGTCATGGTGCCCAGGGTGTTCCTTTAAAGGAGCACTCAACGTTAGAAATACAAACCTGTACTAATGATCTCCAGGCTATTTAGATTTATGCTCCCTCATGAAATTGTACAATAAAGCCATTTCACTTGCCTTATATGCATGCCAGTCAGCATCTCCACATAGGAGCAGTGTTTGGGTGTGTTCAGCACTTTCATGCAGGGTAGACGCTGGATGTCTGTTGTCCCAAGATTGCAAGAACACAACAGAGGAAGTTCCTCAAGTGGCTTTCTGAGTGACTGATTCATACCGCCATCCTTCGGTCCCTCTTTTCTATCCTAATGTCAGTCATTTCTAGGAGCACCATATTGTTGGTGTGTCTGAGTGTATAACAAAGCTCCACAGCAATAGTGTGTCTTTAAACTACAATAAATGGGTTTAAGAAATCGTCCTGAAAAAGTTATTGTTAGTAAGTTACCTAAAATTTCTAACAGCTCCGCCCCTGAAATTGAAGTGTCTCTGTCCATTTAAATTTTGGGTAGTATGCGGAGTGATTGTCTGAGTGACAGCCTAAAGGTGTCCTGTGGACACATGTAAATGCTGCTCTTTCTCTGAAAAGCCAGTGTTTACAATTCAGAGACTGCGCGGCCAGACTCTTTGCACCAGAATCCCTTCATTATTCTGCAGTGTTTCTGGAGCTCATCAGGCCTAGACTGGCCATTGGGCAAATGCGCTGAGGTTGTAAGGGGGAGATCAGAAGATCCAAGTGCCGGCCCTGCTGTGTGCCATCACTGGCTGGTGACACAGGAAGAGTTGGGCCTGGGAGTTCTAGCCAGCAGTCTCGGCGGGGTCTTCCTCTCGCAAACTCTGAGCGTTGTTACCATGGCAATGATCTGATCTCGGAAGGGTGAACTCAAACCTGAGGAGCTTCAGACTCACCACCAGGGCTTGCAAGCAGTGTCCCCCTCCCTAAGCAAAGGTAAGAAGGAAGGGAACCAGGGGGAAAATAAAAGTATATTTAAACTAAAAATACACACACACACACACACAATTCAGGCCTGTACTAGTCCCAACACAGGCACACATTGCACCTCTCACACACATTACAGGTCTGTACAAGTCCCAACACAGGCACACACCGCATCCCCCACACACATACCCTATATACACTATGGATACTCTACAGACACACAATAGACACCCTAGAGACACACACTACATTCTGTGCATACACACTCTGGATCCCCTATGCACACAGGCTACATTCCCTAAACACAAATTCTCTGCAGCCACACACACACTTCAGCCCCTATGAACACACTCACTACATCAACTTTACACACTATGCCCCCTATACACACACATGCGCTCATTCTTTTCAGCCCCTAGCCACACATTACACCACAAAACACAACTGAAACCGACCTATTTGCACAAAATAAACATCATAATTGGCTCACTCTACACATGCGCAATCCCACAAGCACCCTCCAAACACATGCACAATACGCTCTACTTTTGTAGATACTTTCCTGGTATCTCAATTATGGAGATACCAGAGACAAGTCACAAGCATGTCATTAAATTCACTTGAGATGGTCAGAACAAATCCAGGACCTTTTTCTCACGCAAGAGGGCTCTGCGCAAGGGCCGCCCTGGAAGAGCATTAAAACAACACGTTCACTTTAAGAGAGGGCGTGCTTGTCATTGGTGATGACAAAACCACTTCTTTCTGGTCCAGCCCCTTCCTCAGAGCAGCAGTGATTTAAAAATACCCTGACATTCTCACTCCCAGTCTGGCTCTGTTAATTATATGGGCTTGTCATATATCTCTGACTAATTCAAGACCATCCATTCTGTGCTGGTCATAAAAAGCAAGTGTACTGTCACAGGTACAGTCTCCAAAATAAAAGTTTTGAAACAAACAAATGCAGAATAATTCACAAGTAGACTGATTTATTTGTTTATATGTACAGATTTTAAGAGATGTCAGCTACTCTAGATGTGCCAAACAAACACCAAGATTTGTAATCTTCCTGGCACTAACAGAGAACCTATCTAAAAAGAAAGGAAAAAATATGTATTTATAAATAAACTGTTACTTCCTATACCAGATTCGCATTCTCTTCTCTCTCTTAATTTTCTTCTGCAGCTGCAAGATCCCATAGAGAAGAGCTTCAGCGGTGGGAGGGCAGCCTAAAGGGAAGCAGAGAAGATACTGTGCCTTACAAAAAAAAATAAATCAAAACTTCATGTAAACAGATGTATAACTGGAATATTAAAGATGTCTGAACAGGATTAATTAGGGAAATAGCCAGACAATTCACAAATGAGACTCAATATAGATAAATGCAAAGATGTGTGTGTTGGTATGAGGAATAGACGAATAACACCCTAATTAGGGTTAAGATATGGATCACTGTAAATGAGAAGGATATAGAAATAACGAATTCGTACAAATAACTCTCAGTAAACCTGTTAAAGATGGAGCAAAAACAAAATCTACAATTTGTTCTGTGTGTTTAAACATCAACCATATTTTAAAGGGTTTCTCTTTAAGTGCCTATATTATATATATTATATTGATTTTTAAAGGACAGAAAAGACTCTCTCAATCTCCTACATGTATGCCTAACATGAAGTATGAATTAAATGTAAAAAAAATTGATAATTTTTTCTTCATATTCAATGCAACTAAATAAAAATAATTTAAAGTAGAATCCCATATCAGTCCTGATTGTTAAATGCCTTTTATGTCTAGGATCTAAATTTTTGGTAGTGAAAGGGACAATAGAGTCACCAGAACAAGTACAGCTTAACGTAATTGTTCTGGTAAGTTTAGTCGGTCCTTGCAGGCTTTTTGCAGTCAACACTGTCTTTTCAGAGAAAAGGCAGTGTTTACATTACAGCCTGCCTGCTTCCTGGGGCAGTGCTGACATTCAGTGTCCCCACCCTCTGCATGTAGGCACTGAACTTACTTCATAGAGACGCTGATTGACCAGTGCAGTGTTTGGCTCCGCCCATGGCACACCCAATTGGTGGAGATCATCAGAAGTGATAATCTCAGCCAATCTAATGCTATGGGAAAGCATTGTGATTTGCGAATTATGTCAGCCAAGGAGGCAGATCAGAGACAGAGCCAGTAGATTTTACTATATTTAAGGGGGTATAGTGGGAGAATTGTTGTTATTGTTCCTGACCAAATAGTTTTCCTTTAATGCTAATCCTATATCACCTCTGTTATACCAACCAAACCCCTTACACTAGTCATATGCCTACCCTAACCTTACCATAAACCTACACCATCCCTAACATATCCCTAACACTAGCCCACCCCTAAGGAAACCCTCTGCTAATATCAGCAGAATGGTTCCCTAGTTAGAAATTCGTATATTTCCACCATCTACTGGCTTTCTTCAGTATTGCAAAAACATTTCTGTAATAGTGAATGGAGGATGCTTTCCCAGCCGATTTCACTGTGTTTGGTGCTGGGTAGCTGGAAAATTCCAGCACTGATTACAATTGGCTTGGGGACATGCAGGGAGAACATTCAGCAGTCTGTATCCCTAGAATCACTGCAGTTGAGCGCTTAGCCACAGTATTCTGAATGCAGCACTGACTTTCAGCTCATTGTTCAGTCAGTCTGGGGCCACGAATAATAGCTTCTGCTGACAAATGGGAGGTATCCATTAATACCCTGGGGTCTACTGGTGTGAGCAGGGATTTAATCATGTTCTCACTGCACTGCTGCTTACAGGGATTTAAATCTCTATTTAAAGAGCTGTATATAGCATTTTGAGCACTGCACACAGCTCATCCATCAGCCACTAAAAATGGCACAAGTCTGGGACTCCCTGGTGTGAGCAAAGTTAAATTCATGTTCATACCAAAACTGCTGGATGTTCCATGTTTTTTGTAAAAGCAGAATATTCAAGGGGAGAACTTTAAAATATTTTTTACGATTTTTTTTTTTTTTTTAAATATAGCCAGAAATTTTGGTGATTTAGCAACTGGTTAAAGTGACACTGTGGGCACTATAACCATTTGATCTGATTCAATTGATTATAGTGCCTGATGCATGCTGGCACTAACCCTAGATTTAGTGTTAAACCAAGCAGTAAAACAAAAAACAAAAAAAAACCCACACAAAACAAACAAAAAAAACAAAACACACAACTCCCAGAATCCACAAAACAATTCTGGAGGTACACAACTATTAGTGAATAGTCTCTGGTGAGGTGTGATCAGAATGTGGATCACCATGGCGAGGAAAGACATCAGAGCTGTCTTCGTAGTCGGGCAGGGCAAATTCACAGTAGCCTATATCAGATTATAGGCTTGGGAGAGGAGAAATCCCAAATATTTCACAGTGGGAAAGCAGAGCTAGAGATTTTTTTGGGTCACTTTGTGCCCACTATCAACCAGGTGTTGTTGCAGAGACACAGAGTCATTGTAACGGTCTTTATTAGTTGGACTAAAAAGGAAGAGGTTATCCACATATTGTAGTAACCTGGAGCCGCATAAGGATTGCTAGGACTCAAAAGTTTTACATAACACGGTGGAGTAGGCAGTGGGGGACTCACAGTAAACTTGTCTGTTCCACATATATGGACTTCTTTTATACTTGAAAGTCAACAGTGGTTTTGAATTAGGGTGGACTGGTTGCTGCAGAGGCATATTTTAAAGACATGAGCATAATGCACTACAAATGGGTGTCAAAAACCACAATGTAATACAATGTTTACAAGCCACTTATAGGCGACTAGTGTTCAAATCCTAGGCATAACTTACCGGGGACATATATATCCACAGGCACAATTCTGTCACATCCTCTGACCACAGAATACGAGTAATGATAATATCCTCCACCATTTGCACAGCTGGGGAGGGAAAAAATATGCACTTAATAAAAAAAACCCAAAAACTTTAGTGTAAAGAACTAAATCATATTCAATGAGGGACACAAAGAGCTGACACAGCTGTACCTTAATTGGGTTGCAATCTAAATATAAATTTTAATCCAAATGTACAAACTAAAAGTTTTGTATTTTTACACTGCATTTGAATTCAGAAATATCCTGCAGGAAAAAGAGAAGTGAGGGTGGCTATAAGCGGAGTGGTTGCTTAATGTTTTCAACCAGTAGGTATAAAACAGGAATTAAAATCCTGGCCAGTAACTAGAGAAGGGGTAGGCAACTTTTGGCACTCCATCGAAGTATCATTGGCTACATATTTTACATCGGGTGTGCTGAACATTGCCTATCCCTGAACTAGAAAATCAACAAATAGGAATGTAATGGCACCCTCAAATATGAATTAAAAAGTAGATTTCATTTTATAAAAAGACAGTCTATGAAATTCACATAAATCTGATGCACGAAGAAAAGAAAACTTGTTTTAAATGCATCCTCCTCTTCTAATCTACAATACAGATTTTTTAATTTATAACCAAGAAGGAGATGAAGTGGGCTGATGGAGACAGATGATAAAGGGTTGTTTGGATATGGAGCTTCTATTGAGGGGCAATCCACAGTAGAAATGTGTAGGATAACAAGATCCTTTTAGATTTGCTAATGCAGAGCCCTCAATTGTTGAAAATTGTACAAGACATTCATAACAGAGACAGGTTTAGTAAGGTATAAACTGCCCATCTAGCCTTACATAATGGGCAAGCAATGTTCCAGATGTTAAGGGACATGATGACTAACAAGAATCAAAACATACTGATGTGCCTACAACTTACCTGCCCATGGAGACCACATAGCGTGGTTCTGGCATTTGATCGTAAACCTTAGGGAAAGAAATTAAATTAGTAACAAATAAATATCAAAATTCACTGTTCGGAGCTAAGCCTCAAAATAAAATACGTGGCTTGTTATAGCCTGTGAACATGGACATTTAAAAGGACACTCCAACCTATAAATACAGAACATAAAATGCTGGAGTGCTGTATTAACAGTTTAGATCATGGGTAGTCAACCTTTTTCTACCTACCGCCAACTAACGCATCTTTCTTGATGGAAAGATTTCCTTACCGCCCACCAGTTTTCGCGCAAGTGCAGCATATTTTTTAGAAAGGAGGGTGTTGAAAAATAAAAATAAATGTACGTATATTTATCTTTAATGCACTCGCATCTGCAACCTCACACTTCCTGCTTACCACTGAGTGCGTGAGAGATGAATAGAGCGTTCATCCCTCTGGATGGAGGGAGGGAGGATTCTGCTACCGCCCACCTGGAATCATAAAACGGTAGGGCGGTAGGGACCAGGTTGACGACCCATGGTTTTTATTACTGCCACCTCCCCCTTTTCGCACTGAAAGGATTATTGCGCCTCTAATCAGGCAAAGAGATACTCACTGCAGCTACAGTGCTGATGTCTTCTGGCCAACAGAAAGCATTAGGATGCAGAACACATGCGCGGTTATTGCCACGTCTGCAATACTGCTTATTGAAATCAATGAAGCACAGCCTTCTGCTTTGTGACGAGGCACAAAAAAATCAGAAAGAAAACCCTCAAAGCTGTCTGATGGGCGGCTGGGAAGGTGCAACTTTGTCACGTTACAAGAGTGCAGTTTTCTCTCTTGAAATACGCACTTATTAAAGTAACAAAGCTAACACAAAACACCACATCAAGTTGAAATGTTTAAGGGGTACAGAGTTTCTTTGAAGAGACTGTTGCTTAGGGTATTTATTATTTTAATTCTTATAAGTCATTTGGCTTTTCTTTATTTCGCTTTTTTATTTTTCCCTACCAAACTCCACATCAAGTAGTAGCGGCTACTTTTTTGGATGGGGAACTTTATATTTATCAGTATTTGTCAATAGGTCGAGATTAGTCTACTTTCCTCCCCATTGCCATGGATATTTTCAATAAGCCATCCCTCAACTTTCTTTAATTGATTACTTTCTCTGCCTCTCCTGCTCTTTTCACATTTCTTGTAGTAAATGACATGCACAGATGCAGTTAATGATCAGTCCCTTCATGACAGATCACTTACTGCAGCCACTTTTCAGTCTAGATGAGGCAGTGTTTAAAACACAGCATTTCCCCCTGCTTACCAATGGCTAAGAAGAGGAGATGTGATCAGGTGTCCAGTTGGTGGTTTATTCCTACACTCACAGAAGTATTAATAAGATGGTGGAGTTGGAAGGTTAAGTCCTATCAATATAAAATTCAACAGTGGAAAAAAGCAAGTGGCAGACGAAAAGGATCAACGATGAAGGGGAGCATTGGGTGTTATTGGTGGTCTCTACAGCACGTAAAAAAAAAAAACACAAAAAAAAAAACCAAACAAACAAAAAAAAAACCCTTTTGCATTAGCTTTTCCAAGGACCAGGAGATAGGTGAGAATTCACAGTCAATCTGTAAACTCCCATCATCCTCAATATGCTAAAAACATACCATTAATTCTACCTTCATGAGCTGACTGTGCCTCAACAGTTACTTAACCCCTTAATGACTAATGATGGGTCCGGTACGTCATGCCGGGAAAGCAATTAATGCCAGATGATGGATCAGTTCCATCATGCGTTAAAGTTAACCCCAGATCGCCGCAATCATAGGGTTAACACACCTACGGTCTGCATCGGCATTCGAGGTAGACCGGGAGTACCCGATCGCGCTGTCCCTGCAGCTGTGATCGCTCTGACAGGCTGTCAGAGCGAGAACATGTGCTGCAGGGACTTCTGACGCGCCTCCCTGTGCTTCCGCGTTCTGTGTGAAGTGCAAGGAGATGGATCAGCAATGATCTACCGGTAAAAAATTTCAAATCCCACCCCCTCTTTGATAAAATTAACCCCATCCATGCAAAAACAGAATATTCAAGGACATAATATTTGTGGGAAAAAGTCATTGATTCAAGGAGAAACATGATTGCCATTACGGAGTCATGGAGGATTTTTTTTAAATCTCCCTTTTTGTGGCAAATTGTAAATAACCTGAATTATGGTTTTTATTGGCCTTTTTTGATCAACAACATAAAGGAATGGATTTTAAAAGGCTGAACTTGATGGACTTGAGTCTTTAAGCCAGAATACTATTTAATAAATGATCATAAATAGATGCAGTTCAAGTTGTACAGAAATGATAGGAATGGAAATGGATAGTTTCCTCCTGTGATGTCAGCAAGCTTGAATGTGGGATTTTATTCTGAGGTTTTTGCAATTAGTCTCAGAATAAAATTATAGGTCAACAGAGACATGGGTGCTGCTTGTGTCATACTACAATAAATGCATTGGCCATTATGGTGTTCACAGTTTACCTTTGAAGCATATGGTTTCAATAGATTTTTTTCTGGCATAAAAGGGTAAAATGACCACCAGAACTTGCATTCTATTATTCTGGACTAATCTAAATTAATATTAACACTACCAAGGATAATTTATTCCAGAGGTACAAACTTAAAATTTGTGTTCAGCTCTTTAATTGTAAGCCTTGTGTGTGCAAGAGCTAAGGCAAAAAAATAAAATAAAAAAATATTGTATTCACCTTCCGGAGAGCAGGAGCCATCTTATTTGTTAGAGTTCCAGCCACAATCATAACATCTGCCTGCCTTGGACTTGCACGAAAAACCACTCCAAACCTGTCCATATCATACCGTGGAGCAGCCATGTGCATCATCTCTACTGCACAGCATGCCAAGCCAAAGGTCATAGGCCACAGAGAGCTCTGTAGAATGAACAAATACAATAATACGTACAAATGTTCTTTTCAGAAACCAGACATTGTCTGCTTCAGCAATGTAAATTCATATTCTTTTCCAGATTTAGTATTAGGGAAATGTATAGACGTTTGAGAGAACGTTCAGATATTTTTTGAGATAATGAAAACTCTTACCCTGCGTGCCCAGTTCACCAGATCATCAAGCTTAGTGATGACATACTCTCCACGGCTGCTTGGCAGAGAAGATTTTGGTGTTGCGACTGCAGTGCTCTTCTGCCTGACCAGTAAATCGCTGAAAATATAGTGTAACTATATGTAACTCTGCACAACAGTAAAAGCTGAGATGCAATACAGTGGAGTGAAAAATTGTCTTAACTGACAAGTCAAACATTTTCACCTAAAAAGCTCTTTATAATTCATGCTTTGTACGTAATATGGAATGTCAATGCATTGGTGGGTGCAGTGAGGTATTTAATATTCATGCTGCCAAAGGCACAACCACTGCCCCATTTAATAGTTGACTGAACCCCCTTGGAGTTGCTTCGTCTCACGCAAAATCTCCACTTGTCACACTCCAAATTTCCCTTGCATATACTGCTGCACACTCCAGAGTGACGCTACAGGCCCAGGATTTTTGACCTATTGGGTAATATGTGACTAGATGTTAGTGTATTTGTATGTGTGGCATGTTAGTGTATAAATGAATAAGTGTATTTAGGTTGAGTGAAATTTTGTTTAAATGCAGGGGTATATTCCCTTAGATGTAGCAAATGCCTTTAACAATTATTTTGTCGGATGCTCTACTGCCCTGATTGCCAAGCTAATAAATGACACGCATCCTGAAACTACAAATGTGGATCAGGTGCCACTTAATTTGCAAAGTCCCAATATAGACAAGTTCATTTTTAGACCTGTACCTGTTAGTGTCAGTGAAAAACATCTAATAATCTAAAAATGAAAAACCAGTCCGGACCTGATCAAATCCCAGCAATGCTGCTGAAGTTCAGTGCCCGGCAATTGCTAAACCCGTCGCAACTCTAATTAACGAATCCTTGGTGTCTGGATACATACCCAAACTTTGGAAGACTGTGAGAGTAGTGCCTATCTATAAAAGTGGTGACACTACTTTGGTTTCTAACTATCGCCCAATATCATTGCTCCCGGTATTGTCAAAAATCTTAGAAAAATGTGTCCATACACAACTATGTGAGTACTACCAACAATCAAACTATCTTACCTCTGATCAATCGGGCTTTCGCCAGAATCACTCCACTACAACTGCCCTCTTAAAAGTTTGCAATGACATCCAAACTGGCATGGAACAAGGAGACCTAACTGGAGCTATTTTCCTTGATTTTGCTAAGGCCTTTGAAACAGTGATCATTCGCTAACCTGGTTTCGATCGACTGTATCGGATCGCTCGCAATATGTGTCCATTTCTGACAGCGACTCCCTCCCTCTCCCAGTCACGTGTGGTGTTCTCGGCCCCCTACTATTTGCATTATTTATAAATGATCTGCCTAATGTCTGCAAATCCTCAAATGTATACATGTACACAGATGACATGGTAATCTATGCAAGCAATTCCGATCTACCGCAGCTTAAAGGCTGTGCTCCAAGACCAGTTTACAGAGGTAGAAAAGTGGATCGCAAAAAACAAACTCTTCCTGAACACTGACAAAACTGTCACAATGATCTTTGGAACAGTACCTAAATTACACAATTCCCACCTATCCATCAAAACAAATTCAAATGGCACAGTGACCGCAGTCCACTCTTTCAAATACTTGGGTATGATGTTAGACCCCAATCTATCTTTTGGCCTGCACATAGAAAAGCTTGCATCTAAACTTTATCCAAAACTAGGTGCCCTGTACAGAAACAAATCCTGCCTAAGCCCTACAGTAAAAGAAAAGATTGTACTGCAAATGCTGATGCCAATCATTGATTATGGGGATGTAGTATATGCATCTGCATCGCAATCCCACATTAATAAACTCAACACATTGTATAACTCGTTCTGCATTTGTGCTACAATGTAATTACAGGACTCACCATTGTGACATGCTAAAAGAACTAAACTGGCTGTCGCTGGAATCCAGACGCACCCTTCATCCTTCCAGCCTTGTGTTTAAGAGCTTTTCTGGGAAACTCCCACCCTACCTGAACAAAATGCTTTCCTCAGCCGTTCCCACTTCCTATAACCTCCGATCCAGTACCAACACTTTACTTAGTCTACCTCAATACAAAAAGAAAGCAGCCCGATCCTCCTTCTCCTACAGAGCACCGCAATTGTGGAACAACCTCTTGCACAATTTAAAATCTTCCCTAAGTCCTTTAAGAGATCCCTCTCTACATACCTCAAAACAGAATGTACCTGTCATGGTTGATTATATATTTCCTGCTTGTTCTATGTTAAATTTTGTATTTATTGTGTATTAATATTGTTTTTGTATTTTATTGTACCCTAATTGTAACAATGCAATGATTTGTGGACCCAGGACATACTTGAAAACGAGAGAAATGTATCTTTCCTGGTAAAATATATTTTATAAATAAATAATATTTCTGCAAAATGTCAAGACTGTGTGAATGCAAAGGGATATTTGAACTTTTGCCAGTAGGGAGCCACTTAATCCCCGTTGTCTAAAAAGGTAGCAACACAGGCCTGGGCTTCTTAAAGTAAAACATTGTTCTGGTGTGTTTCACACTGTAGTGAAGCAGGGTGGCAGGTATGATGTCATACATTACTGTAGCAAGATTTGTCAAATAGTTATCGATAACAGAAGAAGCCAAGTTCCATTATGCTGCCTTTCAAACTACTAACAGGGGCTCTTGTTCTGTGGCTACCAACCCTTGCTTAAAAACAACTTGCAAGAACACTATAAACTACTGTTTTACTTCACACCACAGCTTTCAAAACATATTTGTTGGAAAAGTATTCTAAAAAGAACCATGTTCATGACTGAAAATATTGAACCTACTTTGAAACCTTTTCATTTTCTGGTGTTGGAAGCCTGATTTGAGTATGGAGTGCAGCCAAAGAGCCTGGACTAAGAAACAAAGGAAGGGCAGACATTACAAGAGGCTAAAGGCAAAACTGAAAAAAAAAAAAAAAAAAACTTGACAAAAGCAAAAAAAAAGTCAGCTTACCGAGTGTGAATCCAGAGCCGCGATAGCAATGGTGCTGAAACAGTAAAATTGTTGGAATTAAATGGGAAAAAAATAAAATAAAATAGAGCAATAAAAAACAAAAACAACATATACTAGGTTTCCTTACTCTAACAAATATAATTTTGGTTTAAACATTGTAAAATTAATTCAATAAGGATTGTGAGAAAAACATTTTCTGGCACCAAATTCTAGTGAAAACATTAAGGTATCATATAGTCTGACATGAATTCATATAACCTAGAAGGTAATGTTTTGTTGCACTTTTACTGTGAACAGTTATACTGGAGATATTTTTGCATGTATAACCGAAATTTTGGCTGAAAATAGGCCTATCCCATTTTGGCCAAAAATATGGTGAAAATTACAGCCCCCCAACGTGGCACTGCCTCACGGGCAGCCACCAAGCAGTACCTCAATGACAGCCCCCATGACACAGATCCCGGTGGGGAAACTGCTGTGTTGCTTCCAGGCCTGGCTGTGGCCTACCCATATGTGTCAGGCAGTAAGCGGGCTGTGCCCGGTGTCCCCAGTCTAGGCTGCTGGCGGGGAGCGGCCCTGGCAGGGGAATGGAGGACCCCCGGTACCCATCACAGGGAATCCCACCATTCGCTGCCACTCTTTAGTGCGGCTGACGTTCACTTTGCAGCCATTACCTGGATATTTCTAACACCTCCTCCCCCAGTCAGTCAGTCAGTCATTCTCACCAGTCACCACCCCCCTCAGTCACTGTCACCCACTCACTCTGACACCAGTCATCCCCTCCCTCACTGTGTCACAGTCTCACTGTCACCAGTCACCCCTTCCCTCACGGTGTAATAAAAAGTCTAAATATTAATACAATTATAGAAAAAACTATTTTAAAAGAATTTGGGGAAAAAAAACGTCATTTTCGGTTTTCGGCCAAGGGCATCTTGAATTTTCAGTTTCGGCTCAGAATTTTAATTTTGGTTTATCCCTAGTCTATGAAGCAATTATGTTAATAGTAACCAATACATCACATTAGATATTCAGCATAACCGTATCTAACATGTGGTAAATTGTTGACTGATATCTGTTACACGTTCTCAATGCTGAAAGCTACTTATTGGAGCTTATAGGAAAAGGGCCAGAAACTGCACTATATTTATGTGAAATAGAAAAGAAGAATAGATGCAGAGAAGAGAAAAAATAAATAAAAAAGGAGGGGACAGGGCAGGAAAGAATCACACTTAAAGGGTTTTCATGTAAACAGAGAGAGAGATTATGATTTAGTGCCAAAATTGGAATTGGAAATTGGAATGTAGGGGGTGGAGTCCCTAGTGGTCTTCAAAAATAGTTTGTTGCCTGTGCAGTAAGGGAAAGAGTGTTCTATAAAAGTGTCTGAGATAAGAGCACACAAATAACTCCAATATAGTGACAGCCTTTAATATCATGTTCCCCCCCCCCCGATAATTACCAGAAAAGGCCCCATAGTTAAAACGAACATTGGTACTAAGGGCAGCCATGTCTCATATCATTTTATATACTCACTGGGTTGTTATTGCTTGTTTTATCTGAATTCTCGCAGACAGAACAGTAAAATAAGCTTGAAACCTTTACAAAAGTTATCTCCAAATTCCACTTTATGTAGGGCCATATGTGTAATTTACCAGTCTATGAGAGGAGAAGCAGCGGGCACTGAGACTCCAGAACTAAGTGAATAAATATTTCTTCTAACACTGTTGAACTGTGATTAGCTTTAAAAAAATAAATTCAAAGTAAAGACAGACATGTCAGTCATTCCTCTGTTGGCTAAAGTCATGAGGATCTCCATGTGCCCTTTGAATTTACATTGTATTTAATTCCCTAAAAGACTGGTGAAAATCTAATATCAGAGATAACACACACACACAAAAATTCTAAATTTAAAAAGCAGAAAGTCACATATTCCAAACCTACGGAAATGCAACAATGAGAAGAGGGGAAATTATATATATATATATATATATATATATATATATATATATATATATATATATATATATATATATATATATATATTTTTTTTTTTTTTTTTTCCTGGGAAACCAGAATTAATAGTAATCTACTGTTATTTTTATAAACAAAACACTAAGCCCTCAATGAATACTATCCTAGCAACCTACTTTTCTACCCTATCCTTACCTTTTGTGTCACTATACCTCAATCCCTCTAGCATGTAAACTCATTGAGCAGGGCCCTCAATCCCTCTGTTACTGTGCGTCCAACTTGTCTGGTTACAAATAAGTGTCTGTTAGTCCACCCATTGTACAGCGCTACGGAACTTTTAGGCGCTTTATACATTTTTGTTGCACTTCAAAAGATTTTGTTTATGTATGATTTTCTGCTGTTTAGATTAGCAGTTTTCTGATTTATGACAGTATATATAATGAAAACGAGGACATACTTTAAAAACGAGAGAAATCTCAATTTATTCTTCCTGGTAAAATATATATAAGCCCGTGGCTAAACATTTCCTGGAAAAGGGACATCCATTATCCTTCCTTAAATTTGTGGGCATAGACCACGTTCCCCTCCCTAAGAGGGGTGGTAACAGAGGTAGAATGTTGCTCCAGAAGGAAGCGTTTTGGATATATCAGTTAGACACAGTAGCATCCAAAGGGCTGAATGAGACTATCCCCTATTATTCATTTATTTAGCCCAGCCAGCTTGTACCTTTATGTTTTATTTTATATGTGTGAATACTCTATAGTAGGTTAAATGTATTTTATAGTAACAGCTATGAGGCATTATTTTGTTCATATGGGTTTGCATGATTGCATGGCACAGCACTTTGTTTGCACGTTATCACTTTAAACATAGCACTTACATTTTATACTGCTATTTTTGGATAGCTTGTCTCTTTAAAGTCATGTTACATGACTCTTATTTACTATACCTCTACTGGTATTATACCACAACATTCACATTTATCTATTAACCCCTTAAGGACACATGACATGTGTGACATGTCATGATTCCCTTTTATTCCAGAAGTTTGGTCCTTAAGGGGTTAAGGTAGATCACAAATATGTTCTTAAGAATCTTTGTGTTTTATTTTATCACTCTCCTTGCATGTTGGTATCTATATTCTTTCCTCACAGACACTGAGCCTTGGTGTCTATGGTTGCTTGGAGACCATTTATACATAACTGGCTATTACTACGGCACCTATCACGTGCACGTTTGGGGGCGGAGCTTAGGAGGTGTATGCGTGCGCATACCTGGAAGTATACACGGCGGTAGCCGCGATTGACACACTGCACCTGGGTGAGTTATTCTTAATTGCAAACATAGCTATATATTGTCATTGTATGCATGTATTTTTTGTTGTCCTGTCATTTTGACCCTGAGGAAAGTCCAGAGCGGGGACTGAAACGTTGGTCGCTGATTTTATCCTGATTTAAATAAAGTATTTGAATTTTAAAAGACTATCTTTTGGCGCTATATATATATATATATATATATATATATATATATACACACACACATATATACATATATACATACACACACTTCCTACAATATTATATATAGACAAGTCTGATGAACCTGTCAAACTTATAGAACAAAAGATGTACTAAGTCAAGAATATTGCAGCTGGGGGCGTGGCCTGACCGGGAATGGAGTGAGACGCATCTCCCTGCAGCTCCTAGGCCCCAGCTCACTACCGCACCGATAAACGAGCACGAATAGACCCGAGATGGGTAAGACAAAGAGGCTACTCACCCCTGGCCCCTCACAAACGGGCTCACCGAGCCGCATAGCGGGTCCCATGGACGGGTACCTCGGAACGCCGCGAGACATGCGGGCGCACCAGGCCGCGGCCAAAATGGCGCCTCCCTCACCAGACGCCAGCAGCTCAGACAGCCCAGCAACAGGCCCAGCCAGAGAGGAGTCACTGACCCAAATTGCAGCAGACCTGGCCACAATATCTGCAAACATGATGTCCAAGGCAGATAAGACCGACCTGCTGGCTGAAATTAGGGCAGTAATCAGAGAGGAGGTCATGGAGGTGAGGAGAGACCTGACAGCACTGGAACGCAGGGTGGAGGAACTAGAGGCAGAACGTGCCCAAATAATACAACACCGCCAAGCCACAGACACAGCCACTACTAGACAAGGCAATGTCCTGCTGGAGTTAAGAAGGAATCTGGAAGATTTGGACAACCGCGGACGGAGGAACAACATTCGCGTCAGGGGACTCCCTGAAACAGCTGGGGAAGCACTACCAGAGCTCCTGCTGGGTCTGTTCACACACATACTAGGGGACAGGGCCCCTGCAGACTTTGGAATAGAACGTGCACACAGAGCCCTGCGCCCCGTGTCCGCTGAGGGACCGCCTAGAGACGTAATCTGCTACCTGCTCTCCTACTCGTTAAAGGACGAGATCATGAGGGAAGCAAGAAACCAACAGAACCTCACCTACATGGACGCCCAGATTTCCCTATATCAGGATCTCTCAGTACTCACCCTGGAAGCGAGAAGGGCACTGAGACCGCTAACCACCCTGCTTAGAGAACGGCGGATACAATACAAATGGGGTTTCCCCTTTAGCTTACAGGCAAAGGTGAGCAACATATGGCATATCATACGCTGGCCAGCTGATGTGCCACGCTTCCTCCGAGCCGCGAACCTCCCAGCGGTGGCAGTCCCAAATTGGGTCCTGGAGAGACAGCCGCAACGCCCAAACGCTCCAAATATCAGGCCGGGTACGGGCCTTACAGGAACTGGGTTCCGCAGAGGTGGCCCGGATAGCCATGAAGAATAGCAGATTCAAGAGCCCCAGGGGGCAGCGACCGGCGCACCCACCGACGGAGGAATACCCCAGTTTTCACACCCCCATTCAACCCCAGAAACCACGCCGCAGTGAGACGGACCACCGGACCGCTCCCCCAAGGTTGATGCGAAGAAACAACCTCCGTAAGCAGAAGCTGACACAACGCTGGGTATGTACTTACACCCCTACCCTGGGCCCGTAGCAGTTACGCACAAGTCAGAGTGGCAGGGACTTGAGACTATGGAGGGCCACATATTTCTTGGGGTGGCGGGATTTATGGGGATCGGGTACCACCCGGGGACGATGATGACACGGAGGGGATCCCCCCCAGATTTATACAGACTCGGGCTCTGGCCCATAGAATCCCCCCTTTTTAGGTGGTTGGGGTAGAGGGGAGGCATTGGCGGACTCCAACTATTTGAATGGCACCCCAGGATAAAGTCTGGACAGTCCCATGATGACCCAGAGGGCCCCGAGACCCAAGCTCCGCCCATCCCCAGGAGGGACTAGCAAGCCAACAGGCAGGAGAGAACTCCACTTCCCCCAGCTGGAATTGGGAGCAGAGGAGGGGGGTATGGTTCCTTGGGAGGGGGGAACGGGGAACGCCAGAGGCGGTGGTCTGGTCTTTACAGTTGTATTTGTTATTGTTATTGAATAAGTTCACATGCTTTATACCACTCTTAGGGGGGCACACACCTACACAAGGGGGCGGGTAACACGCCTGAACCCACGAAGCCAAGGGGGCTAGGCCGGGGCGGGTACACCCTGGGAGGCCGGACCCGTTAGGTAACTACAGGGCCCGATTACCGACTAGACACGCAATACTCAGACCCTCAAGAACAGAGAGGAAAAGGGATAATGGGAGGGGGTACCCTCGTACTACTTCACCATACCCACAGGGGAAAATTCCAATTAAACAAATACAGTGGGCTGGGTGCCGTGAGAGCAGCGCGATCCAGACGACGGTTCACCCAAGAACGGACGACCCACGTACCTCACGTGACAGACTCACACTGTACAAACCCTCGGGGGCTACTCTGGGGACATACCCCGAAGGGAATAGACACTGGGAAGCGACTGACCCCGAGGCGAGTCGTAGTCACCTAGACCCCGACCCACTAACCTGCCCTGACTTTGACTGGACTACCCTACTTCCCCCCCCCCCCCGAACCTTACCCCGCGATACTCTGACTCACCCATACCCCTTCCCACGCACAGCTAGGGATGGGCACTAACTATGTGCCGGCACCGCTTAACCTGTGGTCGAACAACGTTAGAGGTCTAAACGTACCCGAGAAGCGGTCTCAGCTACTCAGTACTCTTTGGGCGGAACGCATCTCGGTGGCGTTTTTGCAGGAAACGCATCTTAAAGGAGTGGAGGCCCCCACCCTGAAAAACAGAAGGTTCCCCACAGGTTATTACTCCAACCATGCCGACCAAAAAAAAGCGGGGGTGGCGATCCTCTTTTCATATACTGTCCCGTTCGTATGCACAGAGCAACGAATAGATCCAGGCGGTAGATACTTATTCATTAAAGGAACCATAGCACAACATCCCTACACATTCGCATGCCTCTATACACCGAACCGTAACCAACATGTCTTCCTAAATAAAACACTCACTTTGCTCAACAAGTTCAGAGAGGGCTTACTAATTATGGTAGGAGATCTTAACACTCCGTTAGATGCCAGATTAGACACCTCAAGGGGAGAAAGCTCAATACCAGGTCATTGCATACGCGCAGTCGGGAGAGCTCTGACAAGGAGTGGACTAGTGGATTGCTGGAGGGCGGCGCATCCTGATGGCAGGGACTATTCCTATTTCTCAGCTGTACACCAGAGATACAGTCGGATTGACTATATCTTTATGGCACAGGAAGCCCTGACACTACTCCGCAAGGCTAGCATAGGCCTGATTGTGGAGTCCGATCATGCCCCGGTCTCAGCCCAGATCCAATCCCCACTACACAAACCAGCGGAAAGGCACTGGAAGCTAAATGAGAATATGCTGCTTAACCTGGGTGACACTGACCCGGTTAGGCAAACTCTAACACAATACTTCGACACTAACACAACCCCCGATGTCTCGCCCTTGACGGTATGGGAAGCACATAAGTGTGTAGTACGGGGACACTATATTAAGGTCTGTACACAACGGAAGAAAGAACATACACGAAAGCTGATAACATTAAACACTCAAATAGCCAACCTAGAGCAAGCTCATAAACAAAGTCAGGACGAAGACATGTTCCTCCATCTAACAGCGCTCTGGAGACAGAGAAGGGACATATTAGCTCAGGGTCTCCTACGCACCCTTAGAAAATCGGCCCGGTTCTTTTTTGAGCACTCGGACAAAAGTGGCAGACTGCTAGCCCGCCAGCTCCGTGACCGTCGGATGGCGAGCCACATACACAAAATTAAGCCCAGTGACAAAGCTGAAACCCGAATGCCGGATGGAATTCAGCGTGCGTTCGTAGACTACTACACGGACCTATACAATATCCCCCAACCTAACACTGACGCTGCCCGCGCACGACAGACCCGCCAAATTACTGAATTCCTGGAACAAAATATAGATAACAAGCTGACCGCGGAAATGCGGGACGACCTAGACCAACCCCTCACCATGGAGGAGCTGGCGGCAGCCCTAAAAATCTCCAAATCCCATAAGGCCCCTGGACCTGACGGACTGCCCCTGATGTACTTACGTACGTTCAGGGACATCTTATTACCAAATCTCTTACTGGGCCTCAACTCCATACTGGAGGGGGGGCGCTTTCCCCCAGACACGTTAGCAGCCATAGTTACTGTAATACCAAAAGAGGGCAAGGACCCGACGAATTGCGCGAGCTACCGCCCCATATCGCTACTAAACGCAGACCTGAAACTATTCGCAAAAGCCATTGCCCTGAGAGTCGCAAAACACCTCCCCCACTTGGTACATTCGGATCAAGTGGGGTTTATCCCGGGTAGGGAAGGGAGAGACAACACGATTAAGGCCTTGAACATCCTACACATAGCACGAGCGCGCCGTAGAGAACTTCTACTACTTTCCACCGATGCCGAAAAGGCTTTTGACAGGGTGAGCTGGGCGTATCTGAGGAGTACCCTTACACACATGGGATTCGGCCCCAACATGCTGGCCTGGGTGCTCTCACTGTACACGTGCCCCACTGCGAGGATCCGCATTAACGGGGCACTTTCAGCCCCTTTCCCTATCAGGAATGGCACCCGCCAGGGATGCCCGCTCTCCCCCCTCCTGTTTGCCCTCTCCCTGGAACCATTTCTGGGGGCGGTCAGACGGAATGGGGGAATCTCTGGATTTGACCTTGGTCGTCACGAATACCGGGTAGCCGCATATGCAGACGATATGCTGTTCTTTCTTACACAGCCGTTGATCTCGCTGCCCAACCTCCTAGCATCTTTCCGAGAGTTTGGGGCACTCTCTAATCTTAAACTTAATACGGATAAGTCCGAGGCTCTCCACCTCCCACCCCCTACAGGCCCCCCAACACACCTTCACACCCAATACAAGTTTAAATGGTGCGAAACTAAATTAAAATATTTGGGCATATGGCTGACCAAAGACCCGTCCCAATTATACCACCATAACTATCTCCCCCTCCTACTCTCACTTCAGACGGACCTTAAGAAATGGACCCCATATTACATCTCCTGGTTTGGACGTATCAATGCGATTAAAATGAACGTGTTACCCAGGATACTTTACCTATTCCAAACAGTGCCAATTACTCTCCCCAGAGCCTTTTTTAGCTCTATGACGACTGCCATCCGCAGATTCGTCTGGAACTCTCGCCCAACCCGAATAAAAAAATCAACCCTGGAACTACCAAAACTGATGGGGGGCACGGGACTGCCCTCCATAGAGACATATTACCGCGCCGCTCACCTGCACAGACTGACGGACTGGCACGCACAACACCCATTAAAACAATGGGTGACCATTGAGCTAGAACAAACCGATAGAAAAATACCCTCTAGGCTTTGGCTACATACAGCCACATACACTGACCTGCACACCGAGAACCCACTAATTGACGCAACGCTCCGAGTGTGGATAGCTATACGCTACCGACTGCAACTCACAAGTTCTCCTAGCCCCTTGACACCCATCACACATAACCCAGACCTGGCCGATGCTCTAACCCCACAAGACCTAGCCGGCCTCCAGCAGGCAGACTGGATGTACCTGCACCAATGGCTCAACACTCAGGGACTTAAACCACTCGGAAACCTCTGCCCAGATAGACCACCGACGATACTCGAACAATTCAGATACCACCAAGTTAAGACATTCTTCATGTCCTTACATGGTCGAGGACACCTGACTAGACCCCTCACCAGCTTTGAACACCTGTGCGTACACCGAACACACGTACACAGAGGTATCTCCACTATACATACCATACTCAAGACCCAAACTAACGAAGATGTGGTGCTCAAATTTAAAGATCATTGGGAGAGGGACTCGGGGGAAGTCCTTACTGTGCAAGACTGGGACAAGATTTACACTCTCACACACAAATGCTCTATCAGCTCCAAGTACCAGGAGCTGAACTACAAAATTTTAACACGCTGGTACAGAACCCCTGACGTACTCAATCGCATGAACGTAGGTGCCCCGGACACCTGCTGGAGATGCGGCTTGCACACCGGCACGTACTTTCACATCTGGTGGCAGTGCCCCGAGATTACCACATTTTGGGAGAGGATCAGGGTAGAGATAAACAAAATCACAGGTGCAGAGCTAACCCTAGAACCCCTAACGATGCTATTACACCACACCCCCACACCCGTTAAGACATATAAGAAATCCCTCTTGCTGCCACTACTCAACGCGGCAAAGGCCCTTATCCCAGTGATGTGGAAACAGAGGGGGGCGCCTACCCTCCAGCAATGGGTGACAAGGGTGGAAGAAATCCACTCAATGGAGTCCTTAACTGCAGACCTACACAGTAGACAGGAGCAATGTGCACTGACCTGGTACCCTTGGGAAACATACCTAGCCAACAGATTAGCAAACCCAAACACGGCCCCCCAGAGGCCCGCAGTTGACCGACTCATACAGAGCTAAGCCACCCGGCTACCCCTCCCTCCAAGGTCCCCTACCTCCTGACCCTTTCCCGAGACTGGACATTGGACAGAACCCCAACGACCGACTCTGACGAGCTCGTAAATGGGGCTTATCAATACGCACACCCACTGTAATCACAGGTGTAAAACACACAGGAAACCGAGACCCAACCTAGAGCTGATACCGGCATGAAAATATCCCCTCCTGGCCTCCTAGACTGATACCTAGAGTATCCTCCCATATGACAAACTATACCGATAGGCATACAAATATATACACCAGCAACTGCCAACCCACAATAGTGGGGAACTTAACCTAAACCATCACACTTTGCTCTCACCCAGGCGACAAGATGGCCTTGAATGTTAATAAGTGCTGAGTAGTCTGGGGAGGAGTTAAGGCACTAAAGATACCTTTTCTCGCTAGCGTGGCCCTATACCATGCCCAACAATATATATATACATGTCAAGCGACAAAAAGGTTCCTGACACGGTTGGTATGAAACGTGAAATGAGAAATGTAGCGTGTCAGAAAACTTACCCCCCACAGCACCCAGACTAGACACCGATTCACGCCCTACACGTAGAGCGCACACCATAGGTGCAACAAACTGCGCATTGTAGGCTAGTGGGGATACGAGACTAGAAACCTGACCTTAAATAATTCTACCTAATGCATGTGATGGAAACTATAGAAATATTGTTTGAGAAAACTGTTTTGAGAATGTTAAAACAATGGTGACGAATGTTGTTAAGCTATTCAGAAAACCGATGTTAAAATTGACGTTATACCGTTACTACATCTTTCCTTGAAAAAATGATAAAACTTGAAAATAAAGATTGTCAAAAAAAAAAAAAAAAAAGAATATTGCAGCTTTGTATTTGTTTGCACATGCTAGTTTGTATACCATGCCACTTTGCCTTTTCCTGTACAGAATGCAAAAAATAAATAAAATTATATATTTAGGGTCGAAACGATCAATGTTACGGATGTAATTTTGTTTTACTATTAAATCACTGTTGAAAGTCCTGTGAGTGCACCCTGGATAGGTGAGTGTGTGTAAACAAATAGAGATATATATATATATATATATATATATATATATATATTTATATCGGGCAAACTACACTTAAAAAGGGCTGAATATAAGAAAGCAAGTTAACTAAAATAATAAAACGACATCAACTCGTACGAAAATACGCCTGGACAGATAATGTTGATTCCCATATTTTATAAATACAAACAATGTTACACCCTTAGCGTATTATACATCAAGCAGTTTATATAATCAGAAAGAAGCCTCTTCCACAATATGGGAAACAGAGAAACACTGCACGGTTGTAAAACCTCCCGAGTCCTTGATATTGACAAATAAATAGTGACCTGCTCACCTGTAAGCGCCGCCATCTTGGTCTAGGACGCCCGCTAGGCACTTCCGATTCTGAGAGACTCTAGGTCCGACAATATAAATGTTCCTCCGAAAAGATTCTCTACCTTCTAGTTCCGGTTGCTCATAGCATCTTCGGTCCATCACAAAGCTCTGCCTTGGGTTTGTAAATTCGTCTGTAAACTGTGGGTAATGCATTAGGAGTTGAACATTTTAGGCCAAAACGATGGAGCAAAACACTTGTAGAATTTTTCCAATTCAGATGTTTTAGCCTAATAGTTCAATGACCTTGATAATATCCCGTTAGCTGTTTAGTGAATAACTTATATTTATTAACAGTGGGGTTTATCAACTAAACCCACAGTTGTAATGCATTGAAATTCCGATTGTAAAAAGTAATCTTAAGTAGCCAAGCTGTGACTGAAAGGTGGGTTTCCCAGATACGATATTTGTTGCCTCATATTTTCCATTCAGATTTTAATTTGTTATAAACGACATTGATAGGTTTTTTTCGACAAGCATCACATTTTAGTGAATTATAATCCAAATGTCAAAATACAAGCAGTCTAGCCAACCTGGAAAAAAAAATATCTCAGAGGTAACTCGACTTTGCCTGAATTTCTTAATTTCCATTTCTGTTCCCTACAATTCAAAATAATGTATTGCTCTGTTACTGCTAGTTCTCCCAATTCATGCTGACCCACTCTACAAAGTAGAGGCTAACTTAAACAGACTCTCCAGTGCAAGGAAAACAAACCGTTTTCCTTGCACTGCAGGCCCACTCTCCCATCCCAAGTTGCTGAAGGGGTTAAAACCCCTTCAGTGACTTACCTGTATCCAGCGCCGATGTCCCTCTGGGCTGGGTCAGGGTCCGCTCAACGCTCCTCCCCCGCCTACATCATCCAGCTGGGGAGACCTATTGAGCATGTGCGGCAATTCCGCTCAATGTGCATTAGACCTCTCCATAGGAAAGCATTGAAAATGCTTTCTTGTGGGGATTTCAGCACCACTGGAGGTCCTCACATAGCGTGAGGTTGTCCAGCGACGTTATAGCAAATGTGCTATAAACACATGAAAAGGAGTTAACCCTGCAAGGTAAATATTGCAGTTCATGAAAACTGCAATAATTACACTTGCAGGACTAAGGGTAGTGGGAGTTGGCACCCAGACCACTCCAATGGGCAGAAGTGGTCTGGAGTGTACCTTTAACTTATGTCAGATAGTTTTTATGTCTGCTTGGCCCTTGTGGGGAACTGATTCTACAAGACATTTCTGGGTGCATCTTCTAGTGGTTCTTTAATGGTGTCAGGGGACTAGGACATTGCAAAGTGCATTTCAAAAGCATGGTCTACTGTGAGTAAGGCCACCAGGCAAGCTGTCCCTTAGTCTGGCATGCATTAAAGGGACAATAAAGGCACCCAGACCACTTCAGCTCATTGAAGTGGCCTGGGTGCACTATACCTGTCCCCTTAAGAAAAACTGTAATAATTACCTTGCAACCGCAGGGTTAAGACTGCCTCTAGTGGCTGTCAATCAGCCGAGTGGTAGGGAGTGTCCAATGCACTTGCAGCACATTTGTGCCCCCTCTCCCCCCTTCAGACCCAGTGCTGTGGGACATTGGTACTGGAATCACGCAAGTACAGTTAAGGGTATTTTAACACTTACTATGCCGGGAGGGAGGTGGATTGTGAGGGAGCTATAATGCTAGGAATACAGCTTTGTATTTTTAGCACTATAGTATCCTTCTACGGCAGGGGTTCCCAACCCAGTCCTCAAATACCCCTTACCAGCCCACGAGGATTTAGGGATTATCCTGTTTTGTTTTGTTTTTTTCTCTAAAAACACCTTAGACATAACTTGGTAAATCCTGGACTGTTAGGGGGTACTTGAGGCCTGGGTTGGGAACCTCTGCTCTAAGGGAACACTTTAGTTTTAGCAATATAAAGACCCTCTCCTGGGTCTCCGCTGGTTGTAAAGGGTTTAAAACCCTTTTATTCACTTGCCTTAATGCTTTATTACAGGGTTATCTGTGCACAGCATGACGACGTCCAGCTTTGTTTCACTGTGTCAAACTCTGTGAAATTCAAGGAAGTGCCACTAGTGGCTGTCTAGTAGGCTAGAGGCAGTCTTAGTATTGCAACAGAAATACCAACATGCAAAAACTAATTTCAGGGAACCACCACACACACATAGACCAAACATGTATGACCAAGGACATGACCAAGAACACAAGTATTTATTTAACCCCTACCGTTAAGGACGCATGACTGAAAATTTCCATCATTTACCAAAGTTAACCCCAGATCGCCACGATCGTGGGGTTAATGCTCCTCCAGTCTGCCTCAGTATCCGATCGCGCTGTCCCTGCAGCTGTGTTCGCTCTGACAGCCTGTCAGAGCAAGCACATGTGCTGCAGGGACTCCTGATCCACCTCCCTGCTTTTCCACGTTCAGTGTGAAGTGCAGGTAGACGGGTCAGTGCTGATCTTCTTCCTGCACAGAAAATAGTTAGCTTAAAATACCACCCCCCAGGGCCAGACTGGGAAAAAAATTAGGCCCGGGCATTTTTCAATCAGAGCAGCCCCCTAAGAAGGGGGCGGGGCCAGAGAGGGTGTGTTTTGTCCTCACTAATGACAAGCACGCCCCCTCTCAAAGTGAGCATGTTGGTTCAATGCGCAGAGCCCTGCTGAAGAACTCTGGCATTAGAAAAAGCCCTGTATTTGTTCTGAGCAGCGCAAGCAAATTTAAAGTTGCAAGAAAAATTATGTGAACCCTTTGGAATGATATGGATTTCTGTACATATTGGTCATAAAATGTGATCTGATCATCATCTAAGTCACAACAATAGACAATCACAGTCTGCTTAAACTAATAACACACAAAGAATGAAATGTTGCCATGTTTTTATTGAACACACCATGTAAACATTCACAGTGCAGGTGGAAAAAGTATGTGAACCCCTAGACTAATGACATCTCCAAGAGCTAATTGGAGTGAGATGTCAGCCAACTGGAGTCCAATCAATGAGATGAGATTGGAGGTGTTGGTTACAGCTGCCCTGCCCTATAAAAAACACACACCAGTTCTGGGTTTGCTTTTCACAAGAAGCATTGCCTGATGTGAATGATGCCTCGCACAAAAGAGCTCTCAGAAGACCTACTATTAAGAATTGTTGTCTTGCATAAAGCTGGAAAGGGTTATAAAAGTATCTCCAAAAGCCTTGCTGTTCATCAGTCCACGGTAAGACAAATTGTCTATAAATGGAGAAAGTTCAGCACTGCTGCTACTCTCCCTTGGAGTGGCTGTCCTGTAAAGATGACTGCAAGAGCACAGCGCAGACTGCTCAATGAGGTGAAGAAGAATCCTAGAATGTCAGCTAAAGACTTACAAAAGTCACTGGCAAATGCTAACATTCCTGTTGGCGAATCTACAATATGTAAAACACTAAACAAGAATGGATTTCATGGGAGGATACCACAGAGGAAGCCACCTCTTGCAAATAACTTGTGATTGGATAACTCGAGACAAGGTGCTACAGCTATTAAAGAAAATAAATGTAAATAAAGCTCCGGGCCTGACAGTATATTCACCCACAAGTACTTAAGGAGCTAAGTGGGGAAATAAGTGAACCTCTGTATTTAATTTTTCAAGATTCTTTTGTTTCAAGTGTTGTACCGGAGGATTGGAGGAAGGCAGATGTTGTTCCTATATTTAAAAAGGGTTCAAAATCCTTGCCTGGAAATTATAGACCTGTTAACTTAACTTCTGTAACTGGGAAAATATTTGAAGGTCTATTAAGGGATAATATTCAGGAATTCATTAGGAAGAACTTTGTTATTAGCAATAATCAGCATGGTTTTATGAAACATCGGTCATGTCAAACTAACCTAACTGCATTCTACGAAGAAGTAAGTAGAAGTATAGATCAGGGTGTTGTAGTGGATGTGATCTACTTGGATTTTGCCAAGGCATTTGATACGGTTCCTCACAATAGGTTAGTCTTCAAACTAAAAGAAATTGGTCTAGATGAATATTCTTGTTCTTGGGTAGAACATTGGCTTAAGGATAGAGTACAACGAGTTGTAATTAATGGTAAATTTTCAGGCTGGACAAAAGTGGTAAGTGGTGTCCCTCAGGGTTCTGTTTTGGGACCACTTCTATTTAACATATTTATAAATGATCTTGAAATAGGCATTGAAAGCCATGTATCAGTGTTTGCAGATGACACAAAACTTTGTAAAGTAATAAAATGTGAGCAGGATATTGCTTTGCTGCAGAGAGATTTGGATAGATTGGGGGACTGGGCACTAAAATGGCAGATGAAATTTAAGAATGCACAAGCAACTTACACACTAAATGGTAGTGAATTAAGGATAACCACACACGAGAAGGATTTGGGAATTGTTATAGACAACAAATTAGGCAGCAATATGCAATGTCAATCTGCAGTTGCTAAGGCCAGTAAGATTTTGTCATGTATAAATAGGGGCATAAATTCTCGGGATGAAAATATAATTCTGCCTCTTTATAAATCGCTGGTAAGACCACACCTTGAATATGCTGTGCAATTTTGGGCGCCTGTTCTAAAGAAGGATATCATGGCACTGGAGAGGGTCCAGAGATGAGCTACAAAATTGATAAAAGGAATGGAGCATTTTAGTTATGAAGAAAGGTTAAAAAAATTAAATCTGTTTAGTTTGGAAAAACGGCGCCTGAGAGGGGATATGATAACTTTATACAAATATATTCGGGGCCAGTACAAACCTTTATCTGGAAATCTATTCATAAACAGGGCTATACATAGGACACGAGGTCACACATTTAGGTTGGAAGAAAGGAGATTTCATCTAAGGCAAAGAAAAGGTTTTTTTACAGTAAGAATAATAAGGATATGGAATTCTCTGCCTGAAGAGGTGGTTTTGTCAGAGTCCATACAGATGTTTAAACTGAAATTGGATAAATACTTACAAAAACATAACATACAGGGATATAATTTCTAATTAGTGGGGTAATAGCTGCTTGATCCAAGGAGACATCTGACTGCTATTTTGGGGTCAAGAAGGAATTTTTTCCTAGTTTGTGGCAAAATTGGAAGCGCTTCAGACCAGGTTTTTTGCCTTCTTTTGGATCAACAGCAACAACATTTGTGAGGAAGGCTGAACTTGATGGACGCAAGTCTCTATTCAGCTATGTAACTATGTAACTGCTGTCCAAACAAAACATTGCCAGGAACAGGAACAAGCTCTTACCAGTGTTTAGTGATGATACCCTGGGGAGTATAGTGATTATAGCAATCCCCAGAGTGTAGTTTTCCAATCCCCCAAACATGAGCCGAAACTTCATGAAGGTACAAGGTGATCTCTTTAATAAACACAAAG